TGGTATATTATAGTTGATTTGTGCCGTACTGGAATACTGCAAGATTGCTGCACGGTTATATTAGTTTTTTTCTCTAACATGAGTCTAGTCCCGTCACACAATTTTGGTACCAGCAAAGCTAACCCCATCTCCATCATTGTCCTAAGAACGCTTATTGTGTTTGCAGCCTAGAGCTGACAGAGTAATCATTTATGGTTAGTAGCTTTTGTTGTGTGTTCTTCCATGCAGACTTCTCAAATCAAAAGAATATAGGAATATAGTCCTCTGGGCACTAATTGTTGGTGTTCTGTTTACAGATCCTGATTTCAACCCGTTTATGGACTTGCAAGCACAATCCAGAGCACACCGGATTGGGCAGACCCGGTCAGTAGTTGTTTACCAGCTCATAACAAAGTGTTCAGTTGAAGAGAAGATAATGCAAAAGTCCAGGCAGAAGTTGGCTATAGAGAATATGTTAATGAACTCTTCTAATAAGAAGCCAAACGCAGATGAGTTGCAGTCTATACTTCTCCATGGAGCAAAGACAATTATTGACAAGAAAAAGATCAGTGCCACTTCAATCCATTATGATGATGAGGCCATTGAGAATCTCCTGAAGCTTGACCCCAGTTCTGAGGAAAAGTGCTCCAAAGATGACAATGGCTATCTTGGGAGCATTGTGAGCTTTGCACACGGCATGGAAGATGAAGAACCTGGTTCCCCCAAAGTAGAGGACCTCAAGGTTCTGAAGCCTGCTACTCCCAAGGTGGATCTGGGCCGTGGCAAGAGGCAAAGGAGAGTTGTCAACTACAATGATGCTGTTGAGAACTCGGACAGCGATGATATGTACGCTCCAGAGGGTTCCTCAAGTAGCAGTTCTGATGATGATTCTAACAACGACAACTATGAGGCCAACGGTGTGATTTCAACACCTGTAATTGGAGCTCCAGGAGCAATACATGCGCTTGAGGCCCCAAACATTATTCCTGCAATTGGAGCTCCAAGAGCACACTACCTGCACTTGAAGCCCCAAAGGCTTGTTCCAATAGCAGCTCTTCATCTTCGTCTGATGACAACGGCGATAAGCCGAAAAGTGCAACTCTTGGATCTATCTGCACCAAACACCGGTAACCATATGGGTTCATTTTGCCTTTTGTTTATGCTCCTTTGGTCCTGAAGGTGGTAGTTCTTAGCCGTAGGAAGCAGATCGTAACTATTGTATCTATCTTTGTGCTATAGTACCTGACTACTGGCGCAAACGCCGGTTACCAATATGGGTTCATTTTGCCTTCTGTTTATGCTCCTTTGGTCGTGGAGATGGAAATTAGGAGCCCTAGGAAGCAGGTCGTAGTCTTTTGTACAGGAGTGGTCCGATATGTAAATAAATTATATATGCTGCTGCCACTTGGTAAAGGTCTTGTTCGCTGGTTCTTCTCTGGAGATTCAGCCAGTTTCAGCCGCAACAGTATTTTTCTCTCACACCAAACCAGTCGGAACAGTGTTTTTCAGCCAAGTTTCAGACCAGCGAACGGGGCCAAAATGAGATGTCGAGATGACATCTCATTGAAGCTTATCTGATGGTACAAATGATGAGTCGCGACCTTTTTTTAGGCTTTATCATCTGAATTCCTTTTCTCGAATGGCTTAAGGAACTTAATTCATTTTTTGCGTAAAAAAATTAGTTCATCTCTTCCTACTAGAAAGATTTTTAATCTCTCTTTTCTCTGCATAACATCTAGTATTGCCTTTCTCCACAAAAGAATATAATTCTAGATATATTTTTGGTTAACATGTCTAAAGTTGAATCAAATATATAGTTAAAAATATTAATGTTTATAGCATGAAATAAGCATAGTTTAAAAATATATTTCACAACAAATTTAGAGATGGCCAGCAGAGGAGCCGTCTTAGAGCATCTCCAAGAGCCTTTCTCAATCTCTCTCTTCAATAGTTTTTTCATATCTTCTCGTCTTCTATATTTAGCTAATGAATAACCCGGAATATAAGATTGTTAGATTGATCTCTAACTTAACTGGACCCAACGGCCCAGTTGGGCCTTTGATTCGCGCCCTGATCGGGGGCGCCCAGTCCACCATGGCTGGAGGGCCCCTGTCACCCTGCGCTATAAAAAGAGGTGGGGGCCAGCGGCTCTTATCATGAGGTTGACCTGAGCCGAGCTTTCCACCGACATCAAAACCCTAATCCGATCTAGAGGGCGCGCAGCCAAAGACGGGAAGCCACCAGCCGTGCCGCCCGCTGCATCGACGTCGACGTCTTTGCTGTCCTCTTCACCGACCGTCGCTGCCCGTGTGCAGACTTCACTAACGAACTCGATGGCGGCCTCTGAACCCTCCCGCTCCGCGGTGTCAGGTTCGTCAGACCTCATCTACCCCTCTCTGTCTCTCTATCGCTGCACTAGAACGTATCCTAGGTTTGTAATTCATCAAGCACCCCGACTAGATCTACTCTAGACGATCCGAATTGTCTAACAAATATGATTATATTTGAATGGGAAGCATACTTTTTTACCGATCTCTATTCCTAGGAAGGATATGGAGAGTGATGCTCTTAGGTGCGGACTCCGGAGGCGCCGCCATGCGTGCGAGAGGGCCATAGCCCATAGGCGCGTGCGCCACGCGCGCTCAGCCTTGCATACGTATACGTACCCCAGACTCCCAGAACGGGGTCTAATCCGAGGCCCGCTCGCATGGCTAGCCGAGCGAGGCAACTCCACGCCATCTACATGACCAGCAGCTCGCATGATCCTGACAAGTGGGCCCACCTCGTCAGGGAGTACGCCTCCCAATCCTTGCTCCGGGAAGCCGCCCTCGTCTACGCCAGGAACGTGCCCCGCCGAACGCACCACCAGCCCCTCCTCCCTGTCCTCCTCAAGGCCGCCGCCGCCTCCTCCCCGGCCAATCCCGGACTCGGCAAGTCCCTCCATGCGGAGGCCCTCAAGTCCGCCTTTGCCCGCGACCTGCTCGTCGGCACCACGATCGTGTCAATGTACTGCAAGTGCGGCGCACTCGCCGACGCGCGCAGGGCGTTCGACGAAATGCCGGACCGGAACGTCATCAGTTACAACGCGCTTCTCGCCGGGTACGCCGCGGCGGGGGACATGGACGGTGCCCTGGCGCTGTTCGGTGGCATGCGCTCCTGGACGTATGTTACGTGGGCGACGCTGATCCGTGGGTTCGCGGAGAAGGGCAACATGCCGGAAGCTCGGAGGTGGTTCGGGGCCACGCCGCCGGGGATGCGGACCGTTGTCACGTGGACCGTGCTCGTGCACGGCTACGTGTCGACGGGGGACATGGAGGCGGCAAGGGAGGTGTTCGATAGGATGCCGGCGAGGAACGCCTTTGTTTGGTCGTCGATGGTCACGGGATACTTCAAGGCTGGCGACGCCGAGGAGGCGCGTGCGGTGTTCGATAGGATCCCGACCCGGAACCTGGTGAACTGGAACGCACTGATCGCCGGGTACGCGCAAATCGGGTGCAGTGAGAAGGCGCTTGAGGCTTTTCATTCGATGCTGCAGGAGAGGGTAAAGCCAGACGAGTTCACCGTGGCGAGCCTGCTGTCAGCATGCGCGCAGCTCGGGTCGCTAGAGCAGGGGAAGAAAGTTCATGACTTCATTAACCGGGAGCATATCCGGAAGAACCACTTTGTGGTGAACGGTCTGGTCGATATGTATGCCAAGTGTGGTGACCTCGCGTACGCCCGACACATCTTTGATAGCATGAGATGGAAGAACACCGAATGCTGGAACACCATGATCTCCGCACTTGCAAGCCATGGTCGGAGCGATGAAGCACTCCACCTGTTCTTCCAGATGGAGCGCGCTGGGCCGACACCCAACTCGATCACCGTTCTTGCTGTGCTTGGAGCTTGCACGCATGGAGGGTTTGTTGACGAAGGATTGCGAATCTTCAACAAGCTCGATGCATATGGAGTTGAAACAGGATTGGAACATTACGGTTGCCTGGTTGATCTATTAGGCCGGGCTGGAAAACTGAAAGAGGCCTACAAGATTGTCAAGAACATGCCTGAGGAACCCAACGAGGTGATCTGGGGATCGTTGCTTGGAGCTTGCAGAGTGCATGGTGATGCGGAAATGTCAAGATTGGTAACTGATGAGATCCATCGATTGCATTCTGTTCACGCATCGTCCAATGACGCAGAGTACATCATGCTGTCAAATATCATGGCTGCTTCGGAGAGGTGGGAGCAGGCAGAGCAAATAAGGAGGAAAATGGCGCGACATGGGATTGAGAAGACTCCTGGCTGCAGTTCGCTTGAGCTTGGCATTCCTGAATACCAAGTGTGTGCAGGCAGTAGGCAGTAGTGCTCTGTGCAGACTAGATTACTGTAAGTTTGTTTAATAATTTTGTTTCATGTTTTTCATCGGTCTGATTTCAGTAGCTCACCCAAAGAAGAAATGATCTTGATGAGATGCGTTTGATAGAAAAAATAAATAAATCCAGACGTCGACCATTGCAGTCCTGTTCTAGAATTTGTGAGCTGCAATCACTGAACTTCCAGGTGTTTATTTCAGAAAGATTATTGTACTGTAGAAGATTATTGTACGCAGAAGATTATTGTACTGTAGCCAAGGGATACTTTCGAGCCAAAGTGGACCCAGGAATATGAAAGATGAAACACATTGGATGCATACATGCACAATCCAACTTATTGGAAATCTTATACAAAATCCAATAATCAATCATGCTTGTTGTCTTTAGCGGCTGCGGTGGTACCTAGTTTTGGCAAAGCTCACAAGCTACGAACGGTCCATTTTCGGTCCGTTTGGCACGCTCATCAGTTCAGTGGCACCACTGATTCTGCAATCTGGGCTCCAAATCGTACCATTTCTTGTGAAGATTCCAGAACATATATTTCTCGAAATTTTGTACTAGTACCAGAAAGAAACACTGTTACTGCATTTCAAACACATAAACACATTGTGAAAAAGACACTAACAGATAGCGACATTACTTGACGATATCACAGTCAGCAACAAGTGCCTAAACAACCACTTCCGTATCAAAGATCCAGCTGAACTTGACCATCCTGGGCTCGTCCTTCTTGGCCCTGTCCTCGGCGCGCTCCGCGGCCCCGCGCATCCTCAGCGCGAGCCCATAGACGAAGTCCCTGGCCCTGCGGCCCTCGCCGGAGAGCCCGCTCTCCAGCGTCTCCAGCTCCCACAGCTTGACAAGGAACTCAACGATGTCCGTGTAATCCCGGGCGGTGTACACGCCGAGGCGCTGGGCGACGGCGGCGAAGTGCTCGAACAGGTTCATGTCGCGGCCGTCGTGCATGAGGTGCGCGGGCATGGTGATCCGCTTGCGCATCATGTCCGCGATGGCGAGCACCGCGCCCTCCGGGTCCAGCCGCAGCAGCTGCTCCACGATGCACCCGTACGCCGTCTCGTGCCGCTTCTCGTCGGCGGCGATGGTGCCGCAGGTGCGCGCCAGGACGTCGTCCCCGTGCGCCCTGGCCAGCCGCGCGGTGTTGCCGTGTGAGACGGCCGTCGCGCGCTCCTGGAAGCTCGTGTAGACGAAGCCCAGGTACGGGTTGTTCTCCGTTCCGGGATCCTGCAATTCAGAAAGAAAACCAGCCTCGGGAGTCAACATCATAGAATGCACGATGCACTGCAGTGGAGAATTGTTGGATCCAAGAGTCCAAGACGATGGTGATGCGTACCATGCCGGATGTGCATGTACTTGCCGACGCGCATGTCGACGCGGCCAGAGAGGTGCATGTACTTGCCGAGGATGTCGCCATGGCGGTTCTCCTCGGCGGTCCAGGTACGCGTCCAGACCGCCCAGGGGCAGGCGCTGGCGCCGGTCTCGTCGCGGACGCCGTCGAGCGTGTTGATCATGGTCTGATACGTGGGCAGCGCCTCCTCCGTGATCATGTCGCCCACGAGCACGACGAAGTACTCGTCGGGCAGCCCTGCGGCGCGGGCGCGCAGCTCCCGGACCTCGTGCTCGAACATCTCGGACGAGGAGTCCGGCAGGAAGTCCGTCGGTTGCCAGCACTCCTCCACGGGCTTGAGCAGCGGCAGCAGCGACCGCGCCGCCCAGCCCTCCAGCAACCGGAACACCTCCGCCTTCTCCGGCGGCATCGAGTGCGTCACGCGGGCGCGCGCGGCGGGAGCCGCGACCGCCGACTCGCGGCATTGCTGGCGGCGCGCGGGGGCTGGCGCCACCACTGCCACCGGGCCGCGGGCGCGGATGGCGATGCCGTGGGCCTGCAGCGTGTCCGTTGGGTTGGCTCCGCTGCGTACGGGCCGGATACTGGAGGAGGGAGTGGACAGCGGTGACTGTGGAGTGTTGGGAGAGAGTTTGTTGGACGGCGAGCGAACGCCGGCGCGTGTACGGGCGTGATTGGTTGTCAAACCGGGCCGTCATATGGTCTATCCCACACTTTTTTGTGCATTCGCTTGTGTTTGGTTGCTCTACTCGTATCTTTCTTCTACTTCTTCTCGTGCAGATTTCCTCCTTTATCTCGGACGGTATCGTCTTCTCGATCCCCACTTCTCTCTCGGTATAGGCTCGTTCGGTGTTTGGCGGGAACCCTTTGCGGAGAGCACGGGAGATGAGACCGTCCTGACGATAAAGCGCGCATGGATCGCCGCTAGGGTTACTGCTCTCACTCTTCGCCTCTTCTTCCGCCATAGCACTGGTGCGAACTCTCCTCTAGCTCCCCCTCGACCTCGGTAGCCCTACCGAGGCGACCACCGTCGGCGGATTTCTTTCGGTCCTCCGGCGCTTCGACGGTATATGCCACCTGCGTTCTTCCCCTCCTCATTCTTCAGTGTCGATTTTATTGATTTGTCTGTGGATTTTGCTTGTAATGCTAAAAAATAGGGTTCTTGGTTTGACATCCTCAGATCTGTGCGATGCTATACCTGATTTACCTGTTTCTAGTTCAGATCTATACATGATGCTTCGTATTTGGTGTATACCTCATGTTTTGTGTAGATCTTGTACACACTGATGTCTATTTTATTGTATACACTGAGCAAAGTGCCTAGACATCAGTGATGTTGATTGTGTAATAGTATACGCCGGAGGAGCACCCTTTGGTGTGTCAGTCGTGTCTTTCATAGTTCATTTTGTCTGGTTTTTTTCTTGCTAAGCAGTACACACCTATGTTGCATGCTTCCTTTTTAATGTTGCCCTACATCCTTTTGGTAGACATGGTCTTTGAAGCTAGGCGTGGGCTGTCGCTGTTGTGGTTGTGCAGTGGCTGCTTGACTTTTCATATGGTTTAGGAGGAGAGTTGAAGATTCGCGCTCAGTCACCTATGGTCTCATGGCTGAGAGGGACAAACAAAGGATGAACAACATTAGATACATCTATGAATCTGATGATGTACACTGTGTCAACCTTCTTAGAATGAAGATTGCCCCTTTTTCCAACTTTGTGACATTTTTCGTAGTAGAGAGCTTGTCACTGACAGCATACATGCATCTGTTGAAGAGCAAGTAGCCATGTTCTTGCATGTTGTTGATCACAACGAGAGGTTTATGGTGGTTGACCTCACCTTCAGGAGGTCCGCAGAGACAATTAGTAGGTTCTTCCAGAAGGTGTTATATGCGATAGAAGAGCCGAGGAATAAATTGATTGTCTCTCCTGCTACCAATGTCCATCCTAAGATCCTTGGGAGCAGAAGGTGTACCCCTATTTCAAGGTTGGTATCCATAACTTGTCATACATAGGTCTCATTCATTATCAGTGTAGTGTCAATGTTCACTTGTACTTATGTTTTGTTGATTTAGGACTACATAGGAGCAATTGATGGTACTCATGTCTTAGCTAGAGTCCCTGTGAAGATACAAGCTGCCTTTAGAGGTAGGAAGCATACCATCACATAAAATATGTTGGCAGCCGTGGACTTTGACCTCAAATTCACCTATGTGCTTGCTGGTTGGGAGGGATCTGCACATAATGCTCTTATCTTGTCTGATGCTCTTGAAAGAGCTGATGGCCTTAGAGTGCCACTAGGTATCATCCAAACCACAAAAAATCATTGTTGGAGTTTCTATTTGGCCGATGATACAAACTATAGCAATCTGAGGTGGCTATGGGTATTCTTCATGTTGCTGCTTTATTGTCTTCTTGTGTTTTCTCATGTCTGTCATCAAACCGTGGGATACGTCCATTCCAAAGCAACTGTTGTAGGCATGTCTACCAAATGGCTAGGATGGACGTGTCCCACGCTTCCATGGTAGCCATGAACTTGCCTCAACAATTTATGTTCTTATTTACCACCTGGGATAATTGCAGTTAGCTTGCAAGATGGTCATAAGTTAGTTTGCAGTTAGCTGAGGCCTGCATTTTTCTGTGCCTATGAGGACCACCATTTTTTTGACTGAGACTGATATAATTGAGAGATCCTTTTCATGCCTATGAAGATAACAGTGTCAGTTTGAGTAATGAATTATGCACACTGATTACCTTGGACTTGTAAGGTACTGGAGCATTGTTTCTTCTATCTTCTACTTATGCTTCTCATGGCTGTCATCAAACCATGTGAGACATCCATGCCCAAGCAACAGTTGGGTGGTTGTGATGATTTGATGGCTGGGTTGGATGTCTCTCATGGTTTCATGCTTGTCATCATCTTGGTTTTCTATTATCTATTTGAGGTTTGTTGCTGTCTATGAAAAGGCAATTAAATCTGAGACAAATCGATTGAACTAACCCTCATATTATCAACATCTTATACTTGTTTTTGTGTTTTTTAAGGGGCACATGGCTTGGTATATTGTGTACCGTGGCAATGTCCTGGGGTATATGCAACCTGGGCTAGATGCAATGTCCAAGTAACTGGTTTTAAAAACAACAGCTAGGAGAGCTTCCCTACCAAAGAAGAGGCAGAAGCATCATACTTGGAGTTCATGGGTTGTGAAGATGACAAAGTTTATGTCAAGCCTCCACCAAAGGTGGTCAGGAACACACCGGTGTTATTTGTTGTGGCTATGGTGTAGTTTTTTTTCTTGCTGGTGTTCCTGTGGTTCGTTCTTGGTCATTGCTACAACTGCCTGTCATGCTTAAAATGTGTCGTGCAAACTTAAAATGACAGTGACCTTGTGAGGTACTATGACCCTAATGTTGTTAACTATTATATGCCAGGACTATTGTATGGTTCAAATTTATCATTAGATGCTCCAATGTCATTGTCGATGAAAAGGCACAATGAATTGAGGCAAACAAATCCTCAGTTTTGCTTGTTTTTCTGAGAAGCGTGGTAACCTCACCAAAACCATATCTTAGAGCCCATACATGTTGCCGTGCAGCAAACCAGAGCTAGGGGATAACTTCATACCACTTAATGCTCCATACTGACAACCAAACGAGAAGGAAGTCATCCAGTACGTAAGCCTCAAGTGCAACCAAACACATGATGATGAACGTTGTCATCTGGGCTATCCCGAGTCTGAATGGGGCCTTCGTCCCGGACAATCACGCCCTGTGTAAATCCGGGAGACGGGATGCGACAAGCTGAATCGTGGCGTGGGCTTTGGCTGGTGGGCGGAAAACCTGTGGGTGCAGTGGTTTTGCCGGGGGTTTCTGCGGGAGTCTGGGGATACGAATTCTGTGGGTGTCTGTCTGATCTGTCCGGCGGGACACCTGCTGGCTCTGGCTGGGTTGGTTCGTGAGTTGCCTGCACGCATGCTTGCCCGGTGTCCGGTGAGCGGCGAGGAGGGGACAGTTGGGCGGCGATCAATGAACTCGGACATCCAGTCATGAGTCATCCAGGCCAGAGTCATTCGGCTTTCAGTCAGATTGGTAAAACTGGAGCATATTGGGTGCAGATTTGTGAATGTGATTGTCTGAGCCACAATGCACGGAAGTTGTGACTTGGTTGATTTGGTGATGTGGATTGTGGAAGAATATTGCCGCTAGTGCCTAGTGGTTACGGACCATTGACCCAAGGTGTGAAACTTTTTTGACCAGGGCTGATTAGCGAAGGCGGATTCAAGGTAAAACACCGTGCTCCGCCCCTGGATTTTACAACTGGAGTCTTTTTGCCCACCGAGTGGCACGTGCGGCGGGGGCGTGCCGCAAGTGCCAAGTGGCGCTGTAGCCCGTAGGCGACACGAGCTACAGAAAACTGTCTACTGGCAGGAACGGTGGAACCCACCACTGCACCACCATCCACTTGAGTAGAAGTAGTCCAGTGACCTGTTTCTGCGGGAAAAACAGGCAGATGATCTTGTTTCAAACCTAAAACGAGAGGTTTTCGTGGGGGTTTGCACTTGCAGGCTGCAGCCCGTCTGGAGTCCGCGATCACGTATCGCACGGACTGTCCTGCTGAGCATGGCCAAACCTTGTTCAGATAATCAGATTGGTTAGGAAAAACATCTTTCGGGCGTCTTCCCTCCGGTCTGTGACACCCGATGCCCCGATACGCGTGTGACAAAGACGTCAAGGCAGATTCTTTGGCTCCACCAGTGCTAGGCTGCTAGCTAGTTCTTGATTTCGCGAAGCGGTGTTGGGATTTTAGCTCACTAATACCCCCTCCCAAAGCAGTTCCAATAATACTTTGGTGATTTGACAGAGTGCTAATGGATGGGAAGAACTTGAAAAAAATAAAACCGTGTTTTCAAAAATACTTGGAAAATGAAGGTAGCGTTTGGTTGGGAGTCAAAGTAGAGTGGGATGGTTCTGTCTCTGGTTTCTAGGATGGGACGGTTCCATTTTCTGTTTGGTTGGCATGGGATAGAATCGACCCATTTTGTGTTTGGTTAAAGGGATAAATAGAAATTAGATGGATAGTCAATTTGACACCGTTAGCTCTGTTCAGTGAGACCTCCATGTCATTTTTTTATTGTATTTTTTTAGGAATAATTCTTTTTTATTATATAAAAAATCCTCCCAACTCCCCATGGGCCACAAGCTGAGCGGCATTGCATCGCAGCCTCCACGCCTTCGCGCACGCCGCCGCACCCGCCTCAGTGCCCGGACGCACACGTGCCGCCGCGCCCCAAGCCAGCGTGCGGGAGCACACCGCCGTGGCCCCAATCCCAGCGAGCGGGAGCATGCCGCCGCGGCCCCCGGCACCGCCCGCCCCTATTCGTCGGGTCGAGCTCGCTCGCCCGTGCGGGAGCCAAGCGAAGCTTGACCGCCGGCGCCGGCGCCGGATCCGGCCGCCGCCACCGCATCCGCTCGCGTCGCTATGCCCGTCCGCGGTCAGAACAGAGGAGAGGAAGAAGCATGGCGCCGACTGGAGGAGAGGAAGAAGAAGCATGGCGCCCATCGGAGGAGAGGAAGACGAATCAGCCAGAGACGGCGACTCCACGGCGTCGAAGTGGAACGCCCCCGCCCGTGCTTTTTCTGGGGACGGGGTCGCTCCCATTTTTCACGAATATGCTAGGAATATTCGGTGGGTGGGATGTCCTCGTTTTCTCCGACTCGTAACCAAACAACGTAGAAACTGGGATCACCCCGCCCCATCCCATCCCGTCCTCGGAACCAAACACAGCCAAAGTTTATAGATCTTAGTTGTCCCATTAGTTACATGAGGCTCCCAACTATATATTTTTTATCTGTCTACCTGAGTGTTCTAGAAGCTCATGGCACCTGATTTTTGTCCATACATTTACGATGTCTTTTAGCTATATTTATAATGTCTTATTATTATATTTACAATGATTTCTTTACGGTAATTTATTAGACAGAGTGATGTAATTTAGGGATAACACAACTTCTATTTCTATGGATTGCAGATCTCAGAGAAATATATGTCAAATTATTCAGAAAAGTTTACAAATTATTTATATGGATTGTAGATATCAGATAAATATATATCAAATTCTTCATAAATGTTAGATGTCAGGGACAGAACATATCAAAACACGAACCATTCTCTTCTCTTCAACCTCCGGTTCAGGCGTGGGCGCCACCACCTCCTCCTCATCGCCATCATCGCTGTAGGCGTAGGCATTGTTGTCGCGCTCGCGCCCCCGCTCCAGAGCCGAGGCGAGCACCAGCTGGTCCCTCTCCCCCAGCGCGTTGGCGTCGCCCTGACGAGTGAGGTCGTCCCGCACGACGACATCGAGCTTGTCGGCGCTGCAGAAGAGGGAGGCGAGGACCATCCTGGCCCTGCTCCGGCACTTCTTGGCGGCGGCCCTCCGCCAGGCCGTGAAGCCGGGGGCGGGCCCAGGAGGAGCGGGGAGCGAGAGGGCGAGAATTTGTTGAACGGCCAGGAATCAGGTGTTGATGGCACCCAAAATAATCGGTTGTTGTGTAGCAATCTTCTGTATTTTCTAAGTCCGGAATGATAACTGCATTTTGACAAGAAAATAATTTCTCAAAAAAGATTTTGACACTTAATTTCTCTCACAAATATATTGTCAGTTGCTTAAAGCTCAATATCTTTTCAAAGGCACTTTGAATACAAATGGAATGATGCAAAATTTTATATTTTAAACTTGCATAATTAGTCATTTTTTATTTAAGTTTCCCCTGTCGAAATACGCTTACCATTTGTAGACGTAGGTGGTGAGCAATAAGACTTCGAGTGTAGTTGATTAGTAGAGTAAAAAAAAGGCTTTCTAATTATAGGAGTATATACACAAGTACTGTATTTAAAAAAAAAGGCAAATCTAGGCTTTGCTAAATTCCTCCTCGAGCCCATATGCCCGGATGCACAAGTACTGTATACAAAGGAGCAGACCTGATAGATGTGACCCACGATCCATTTACGCTACTGTACCACCACATTGTTAAATCACTCGTATATTAGTCTCAATCTATGTTTTTATACTTAGTCTATATTTAATATTTTAAATTAGTGTCAAACATCCAATATAATCGAGACTAAACTTTAATCCCTAGATGTCAGTAAAGCCCCGTTCGGCTGGGGCTGGCTAGCTAGCCCCTTCACATAGGCACTGTTCACCTAGGCGTTCGGCTCACCTCGCACTCCGCCACCGCCATGCGGGCCCCACGGACACCCGTTCCCCGCATGCCAGTGACAAGCACTAGTAGCTCTTCCGGCCTAATCAGAGTTTCATAAAACACCTTTTGGGTCACCACTCACCAGCAAATATTTAAAATCATCCACTTCACAACCACCGAGAGAGTCGCCGCCTCGCCTCACCTCCTTGGACTTGGCCGCGCCGCGCGAAACCTCACCACCTCACCACCGCTCCAAACGCGGGTCGCAACGCGCCGCGCGGCGCTGCCGCATCGAGAGCTCTTTTCTTGCGGCCTGCTTTTAGGGTCTTAGCGCGGCCCGCCCCGGCGATCACGGGATAAGGGACCGCCGGTCGCCGGAGTTCGGTGAGTGCCTGATCTGCCCTGGTGCCCTGTATCGCCTGTCGTCGTCGTTGTCTTTGTCTCCCGACAACCGGGCTTAGACCTCCCTGATCTCGAGACTTCGAGAGCTGCGCGCGGGCTTTGGATTGGAGCCGTGCGGATCGATCCGAGTCGATCCGCCGGACAAATTTGAATCCGGAGGAAGGAGATTCATCGGCGCTACTGAATTGGGAGGAAGCCGGCATACGAGATTCGAAGAGATTTTGGTTGGACACGGTTTCGCCGTGAATTGGTTAGAAACCGATTTGGCAACAGGGAAGCTCTGGAATGGGAGATCGGGCGGCTGCGGCGGAGGACGGGAAATGGTGAGCGGAAGCTTTAGCCGGAGCACATCCGCGCGGCTCACAGCGAGGGGCGGCGTTGGGAGCCCGCGGGTCTCGACGCCGGGAGCCGCGCACCGGAACTGGTACTGGGCGGCGGCGCCGTCGGGGCCGTCGTTCGATCACGTCGTCTTGGCCTTCTTCCTGGCCTCCGTCGCGCTCGTGCTCTCCTGCGCTCTGTACCTCTACGTGTTCCGGTACTTGGGCCGGGGCCGTGTGGTCGCCGAGTTCGCCGGCGGCGAGAATCTCGAGTCCTGCGACGTGTTCGACGGCGTCTGGGTGCCGGATCAGGGGCCCCTTGTACAACAGCTCGCAGTGCCCGTTTGCGGAGAGGGGTTCAATTGCCTGGCCAATGGGAGGAAGGACACCGAGTACCTCAAGTGGCGGTGGAAGCCTCGGGGATGCGATTTGCCGCGGTTCAGTGCCCGGGCTCTGTTGCAGTGGCTGAGAGGGAAGAGGGTCGTGTTTGTGGGGGACTCCATGAGCCGAACGCAGTGGGAGTCCTTCATTTGCATGCTCATGACAGGGGTGGATGATCCACAGACGGTTTATGAGGTTAATGGCAACCAGATCTCAAAGACAATCCGGTTTTTAGGAGTGAGATTTGAGTCCTTCAACCTCAGTGTGGAGTTCTTCCGGTCCGTTTTCCTTGTGCAGCAGATCCCTGCGCTTCGCCATGGGCGCAGAAGGGTCCGTGCCATCCTCAAGCTTGATAAGTTGGATGATTTAAGTCAGAAATGGGCAAACTCAGATGTTCTTATTTTCAACTCAGGGCATTGGTGGACTGCCAGCAAATTATTTGACATGTGAGTTCTCTTACTTTAATTTTATAACTCAGTTTGTTCTTTTATAATTCTTATGTTATAATAACTAGCTAGCTTTCATTGATCTCATTTGTTACCAACATGTATCCCTTCACACATCACAGTCCATGAAAATTGATGCTTTGTTCAAGGCAACTCAAATACCTAGCACATTATTCCTAACTTCCTATGGAAGATGCCACTGCCATGTAGTATTTGAACTTCTAAGCACCTTTGTAGGATTAAAGGAGGATAGACTGTTGTTTTTGACAAGAATTCAAACAAGTTATACTTACCCTATCATGAGTCAATGATGAGGTGCATTCTTATCTGAGGTAGTGAAGCATTGAGGATTGCCGGATCAATGTGATTGACTTGAGATCTGGTATTTTATCAGTTCAGTCGTTTCTTGAAGTCATAGCAACATGAAAGAGTGTTAGGTCCTCTTGTCATCTCATTTGTTCTGGTTGATGTTGATACCTTTTTCTCCAAGTGGACCTTATGATTTTGACAATACCAAGTAAAGCTTAGTGCTTATCTCAGTTGGCGTTTTGTTCTTTTCTTGTATTCTTTTGGCTTATTGGTGTGTCCATGTTTCTAAGATCACAACATAGTAATAAACGTGTCATTTTTAAGTCTTTTGAATGCTTAGCTTTGGTAGGGTAGCCACTGAGTACCTCTCAATGGAATTGGTATTATAAGGTGTAACCCATCGTAATTTCTTGATTTGCATTGATGTCAACTTCATATATGTTTGATTTTCAAGCTTGATCTTTGCAACAGGGGTTGCTATTTTGAGGCTGGAGGTGTTCTTAAACTAGGAACATCCATTAATGCTGCTTTCAAAATGGCATTGGAAACTTGGGCTTCATGGGTGAAAGAGAGAATCGATTTAAGGCGAACACGAGTATTCTTCCGTACATATGAACCGTCTCACTGGAGGTGTGTTTTTCTAGCATACAAAAGAGGTTTTACTTTCTTCTCTATTGCATTTTAGGAGTAAGTACAATTCAAAATGAAGATATAGAGCACTGCATCCTCAAAATTACATTATGATTATGTGGCTATTCGAAAAGAAAATATGCACTGTGCACAGGTCATTTTGAGAAAGTATATACTCAATGATTTTTTTTCACATTTACAGTGGCTTAAATCAAAAGGTGTGTGAAGTAACAGAACAACCTACAACTGAGGCCAATGGAAATGACAGGAGAGAATTTGGGGATATACTTGCTGGTGTTGTGGCAAATATGAGTGTCCCTGTGACCATACTAAATGTGACTTTGATGGGGGCCTTCAGAAGTGATGCTCATATTGGCCTTTGGAGTCATCCTAATACCATACTTGATTGCAGCCACTGGTGCCTTCCAGGAGTTCCAGATGCTTGGAATGAGCTTGTATTCTCCCACCTTTTGACGAATGGTGAGTTCCTTGTTTACATTCGTATATGATATTTTTTTTTATAAATGTTGCTAAATCATCCAAGTAAAATATTTTGTAACTGCATAGAATTGCCTTGTCTCACAAGCCATTTTTACTTGGGATGTAATATGGAAATGCTGAGCTTTGTAATATGTAATGCAAAACACACATCTTTGGTGATGCCCACTGCCGTCATGATTCCTCTACAGTATCGTGCTCAATTGATTCACAGATCTGTGCTTGGCAATTGTGAAGGGTCAAAACTGAATAGTTTGAATATTAGAGAAACTGCATTTATACGCACAAGTAAATAATGCCTTTAGAAACTCATTGACAATGTTATTCTGGTTGGGGCTCACTACGATTCCCAGCCCACCTGGGTTCTATACTTCTATGCTTGAGAGTTGAGAGCGGTATGGGTGCTCGCTAATGGAATTCTCAGGTGTTTTAGCTGGGCACTTGTGATGCTCGGCTAGCCCGAGTTCAAGAGTCTCTGTACTCTTTCTTAGACAGTATGCAAGGAAAGCTACATGGCAAAAGAAAAGTTATCCGGAGCTCTTCCAGAAAATGTATTTGAGTAAATAGAACTATTCCATCGATATCAATGACTCACAGAATTCGATAGAGCTTCATATTGCATATCCTCCTTTTGTTTCTGCTTGATGAACCATGATGCGGTTCAGTGGTGGTGATCTGATGTTTTGCTGTCTGATTCTGCAGGTTGGCGAGTGCCGGCTAGCTGACTATTGACATGGTATACCTTTTTTCCCTGCTTCGTAATTTCTTTTTTCTTTGCTGCAAGAATCCTCGTGGGCAGCAGCATCTTCCACCAAGTTGTGTTATGTTCACCTTTTTTCCCCCTCGGTCACATAGATCTGCACATCTCCTGAGGCATAGAATTTTGTGTCATTTCCTGTTTTGGCTGTTTAGGCACAGAAACACATCACAACTGGCAACCTGTATGTAACAACAGTTCATTTGCAAAACTTTTGGAAATTCAATTCTTATGCACAGGGCGTATTTTCTTCATTCTCATTCATCAGGCACATCGTCAAAAGAAACAGCTATGAATATGCAATGTCTTTTTTGTCCATTGTCTTCCTTTTCAGCTTTTGCATCAGCGCCTGCTCCGGTGCTCCCTGTCCTCAGTTCAGCCTGTGGCCGGTGCGCCGACCATTTCAGTTTGATCCTCACGGTGGTTGGCCAGGTGGGCAAGCTCGCATTCGCAACTCCCCACGAGAGAAAAACCACCCATCTCCCCGCGGCCATGCTAAATTTGCCATTATCGCGTGGGGCATGGGTAGAAAGCTTCTTGGACCTTGCTTTGCTTGGCAGAACCTCCGTCACATGACAGATCAAACAAACTGCGCTCTTGCTATGTGGCAGCAGACCACGGTGCGAGGGTACTATGCATGTTCACCTGTCGCCGTAGTCTCTTCGTCCATTTCCAAACCGGCAGGCGGCAGCTATCGTGCCAAATTGACTAATCAGGGTATCAATGCACGGTGTGCACCCGACCATAGAGGCAACCAGGCAGTGCAAGGGGGAAAGTGCCTTCAGGCGTGCCCGGTTGTGCAATTTAGCAGTGTCCCTGCCGTGCCGTCGACGTTCGCCGGAGCCGTCTGCGGTTGCGGCTCCTCCGTTTGCTATTAGCCGTTTCCGGTTACAGCTCCTCCGTATTTTAGTAAGAAAATGTTTTTTTTATTTTTTTAAATAAATTAGAAGTTGATGAGGTCATTAATTTTAGCTCCATCGGTTATAGTTCCACCGTGCATTAGGGCGTCCTCAATGAAAATCGTCGGCATCTAGCTATTTAGAAACCACGTCATCATGTGTGGGTCTACATTTAATCTATTTATTTTCTTAACCTTCCCAAAGGCTTCCTCTCATCCATGAAACCCGTCGCATGCATGCAAAAGATTCTTTCCAACCGCTGAGCCTATCCCACCTCGTTTTTTAGCGAGACTAGTGACGAAGGAATAGCTAGCGAGACTTTTTTTTTCATTTTCTCGTCTCAAAAAAATATTTTTTTTTTCATTTTCTCTTATTGCCACATCAGATGAAATTCTAGTCAGCTAACTATGTAGCCTCTTATTGGGGACGTCGTTATAGAAAAATTCAAAACCACTAACTATGCCAAATAGGACCTAAGTTAAGAAGTAATTGACCATGTTCCTCTGAGCTTATATATTGTAGAGTTTGTTTTAGCTGAAAAAAGAACCAATGTGAAAATCTTTTTGCCGAGACTTATAGACCTTACTCGAAGCTCATAACTATCTAAATGTCTTTTTTTTTATCATCAGCAATGATTATAGGGTTGTGTATGCATAGTGATGACGGTGGGGTTATGTGCTAAATTGATAGCTCGATGGTACATTGATATGTGGATGCATGGCGGTGCGTCCATGTATTTGTGGGTATGACAGAAAAATGGACAGTTCACTTATACTTTAAGACCTACTAGGAACTGTTTCCCAGTCATATTACAACAAGGTCTTGCATATCTAGAGGCATATCTAGCTGGAGCTTTTTCTTGCAGTATAAACGACAAGTTAGGTTGAGTCCTACCTTATCTCTTAAAAGTGCATTTAGGTCTTACTAAGTAGGTTTGGGTGAATCGAGTGACAAAGTTGTTTAATCCCATGAAAAATATTTGTATGATTCAATAAAGATCAAATGATATAAGAGAAAGATCATTCCTACAATTTGTGAGATATTGATGCATGCATAAGTTGAAAATAGAAAGAGATATGAATACATATCTATGGTTTCATCTGTTGAAACCATATCTATATGATAGGGGGAGAATGAAATTTTATATGATTCATAAATATAAAGATAGCACATGACTTTTGTTGACTACTGACCCAGTTGTCAGATTGACGGAGCAGTTGCCGAACCGTCAATTATTACACAAAAATACAAGTTTTTCAGCGGTACATAACATGTAGCTTTTGCAAATTAGAGTTTTCTTATGCAAATGCTCATGATAATCACGCTCAAAAGGTAGGTGCACACTAAATCATTAAAAAGGATTAAGAAGATAGTCTATAATGAAAATCTTCACTCCAAAAATGCCTTGTCTCGAAAATTATTATTGAAGCTACGATTTAAATTATAGATTCTATCTATAGCACTATGTAGGCGTAGATAATTATTATTCCCTAATTAGCTCCAAATTATAGCTCACTTTAGTTTTAAGTTATTTTTTCTATTTTTGACCAAGCTATTTTTTAAACACATTAACATATGCAATTTCAAATGAATAAGCAATCAACACATGCCTTTAGAAATATAATGAAATTACTTTTAATAATATAGATGTTGGTATTTTTATATAAACTTAGTCAAAGGTAGAAAATTAACTCACACCAAAGTTAAATTAAATTATAATTTAGAAATGATGGAGTAGTGGCCAAAGCTCATAGTAATTTGTAGGATGGAGATTGAGGCCCTGTTTATTAGATCGATCTAGCTAATTATTAGCTGTGTTAGCTAGAAGAAACCGGTTAATATCTAATTGTTAGCTAGAGCATAGGTACAACATAACAAAACATATTATCTGAGGATTTAGATAGATTCTTTAGTTAATTTTTAGCAGCTGATCCAAACAGATTGTTAGAAGGCCATGAAGTATTGATCATAGTCCCCAGACATGCCTTATGTTATCTAGCCAAATCAAGAAAAAAAATGGAAATCATCAGGAACGATCCACATCCGAGAGACATGAATGCTTTTCCTCCCTACTTTCCGTTCCGTTACATCTGCACCAGTCAAAATCACCATTCAACCCTTCCCTTCTCCAAACGAGCCATCAGCCCATCTCCATCCATCCGCAGTACAGGCCTGTTTAGAATAGCTTATAAACTGTTTATGGTCAAAATAAACTAAAATCAATAGTTAATTCTGACCACATTTATTTTCACAGCTTCTATTTATATAAAAAACATAAGTTAAATTAAATCAGTTTATTTTAACCATCACTTTTACTTTTTACTCTATTTGTACAGCCTAACGCTTTAAAATAAGCTGTACCACCCCGGCCGCCGTGCAGTCCAGTAGCGACTCCGCTCATCACAGTGGCGCGCCCACACAAGGCCGTCCAACCATCACCAATGCCTCCTGCAATTCGACTCCTTCCCCTCCTCGTCCTCCTCCTCCTCCTCCTCCTCGTCTATCTCCCCGTCTCCCTCTCCTCTCGCCACCACCGCCACCGCACCCCGTCCGCGTCCCCGTCCCCGTCCCCGTCCCCAGCGTCTTCTGATTCGGCGCCACTAGCGGTCCTCCTGGCCTGCAACGCCACCCGCTTCCAGCCGGCCTGCGTCTCCACGCTCTCCGGCGCCGCCTCCGATGCCTCCACCGCCGACCTCCTCGCCGCGACGCTCTCCGCGCTCCGCGCGCGCCTCCCGCCGGCCGTCACCACGGCCAAGTCCGTGCTGGCGTCCTCCTCCAACGTGAACCTCACCAACGCCGCCACCAACTGCCTCACGTTCCTCGCGCTCTCCTCGCACCGCCTCTCGCCGTCCCCGTCGCCGTCACTGCTCTCCGCCTCCACCGCGCTGCTCCACCTCTACGACTGCTGGTCCGCGTACAAGTACGTCAACTTCTCCCGAACCATCTCCGACGCCATGGCCTACCTCGACGCCACCATCACCGTGAACAGCAACTACATCTCCATGCTCGCCGCGTGGCAGCGCTACGGCGACGAGACGTCCCTCTGGCGCCCGCCGCAGACGGAGCGCGACGGGTACTGGCCGCCCGCCGCCGCCGCCGCGACCTCGGGTGCCGACGTGGACGCGCTCGGCGTGCCCAAGGGCCTGCCGGCGAACGCGACGGTGTGCGGCGCTGGGTGCGACCACAGGACGGTGCGGGAGGCGGTGGCGGCCGCGCCGGACTACGGCGACGGCGCGTTCGTGGTGCACGTGAAGGAAGGGGTGTACAGGGAGACGGTGAGCGTGCCGTGGGAGAAGACGAACGTGGTCCTCGTCGGCGACGGCATGGGGAAGACGGTGATCACCGGCGATCTCAAGGCCGACACGTCCGGCGTGTCCACCTTCAACACCGCCACCGTAGGTGCGTATAAATACGCGTATTTCCGCCCCTTTCCTTCTTCTTTTTTTTCAAGTTCCTGCTTGCTGCGAAACGTACGTCCACACTACACTGATGAACGAGCGTACTCTTCGGCGTCGTACGCGTGTGCTTGCATGGAATCAATGCGATCTCGTGACCCGAGCATTAAGGTAGCCGTTTGTCCGCACCGAACTCAAACGATTTCCATGGATTAGATGTTGTGACGCAGCCCTACGTTTGATTTGCTTTGTACGTCGCCGTCCGGCATATGGCACATGACCAAGTGAACGTACGATCGTTTTTGTGAAGGATTAGCTGGCTAGCATTCACATAAGTCGATAATTGTACGTAAGTTTCAGCTCACCTGATTGAAGTTTTCCAAATACTTTGTGGTCCTTCGTTTTTCAAATGTGGCCTAGATAAACATAAAAGTTGCTTCCAGAAAGGTCTAGTGGTGAAGTTGCTTTAGTGGTAGCCTTTATTTAGGCCACGGCGCACACTGCAAGTGGTTTTTTTTTGACTAAGCAGCTGGGACAGAAGCAGCGCCTCTAGCTGTGTTTATCTGCCTAATATATTTGTTACTATGTGAGTAAATGATTTGATAACTGCTGGCAGTAAATCTCTACCAACAAATCCAAATGGATTCATGATAGCCAATCAGTCCTACAGGCAAATCCAAATGGATTCACTTTCCAACAGTAGCAAGATCAAATCATTGGGTTATGTGGCCACTGGCCAGCAATGCATGTGGTCCGTGCCGGGAAGAGACAATGCGGCGTAGCGTCACGAGCCTGCTCCTAGCGCTAGGCTACGGAAACACTCAACTTTCCCGTGCTCCGGTCGGCCCCACAAACGGAAAGCCGTGTGCCGCGTGTCGTGGTTCGCCTACAGGGCCGCCGGCCGCCGATTCTCGTAGCCATTCAGTCCACCCAGAAGAAACTGCGGCCGAGCCTGATCCACCGCCGTCTCAACTTTGTCGTGCACTCCATCACTCATGTAGTCGCGTGCTAACACGCAGTATGTGCTGCAGGTGTGCTCGCGGACGGGTTCATGGCGCGCGACCTGACGATCGCCAACACGGCGGGCCCCGACGCGCACCAGGCGGTGGCGTTCCGGTCCACGGGGGACCGCACGGTGCTGGACGGCGTGGAGCTGCTGGGTCACCAGGACACGCTGTACGCGCACGCCATGCGGCAGTTCTACACCCGGTGCCGCGTCGCGGGCACCGTGGACTTCGTCTTCGGCAACTCCGCCGCGGTGCTCCACGACACGGCGCTCGTGGTCCTGCCCCGGCAGCTGCGGCCGGAGAAGGGGGAGAACGACGCCGTCACGGCGCAGGGCCGCACCGACCCGGCGCAGCCCACGGGGATCGTGCTCAGCCGTTGCGCCGTCAACGGCAGCGACGAGTACCTGGCGCTGTACCGCGAGAACCCCCGCGTGCACCACGTGTACCTGGGCCGCCCCTGGAAGGAGTACTCCCGGACGGTGTACCTCGGGTGCACGCTCGCGGAGATCGTGCAGCCGCAGGGGTGGATGCCCTGGAGCGGGGACTTCGCGCTCAAGACCCTCTACTACGGCGAGTACGACAGCGCTGGCCCCGGCGGAGGCGGCGCGGCCAGCCGGAGGGTGGCGTGGAGCAGCCAGGTGCCCAAGGACCACGTCGACACGTACAGCGTCGCCAACTTCATACAGGGGCACGAGTGGATACCCAAAGTGTAGTACTAGTACTTATGCTGCGTAATAACAGTAGAGAATGTACTGTGAACAATCGTGTCGAACAATTGACACGGTGCCCCCACTGACGTTGGGCTTGAACATTGCAGTTACTCCTAATGTGGAGAGAGCAAGTCAAAGAACAGGAATAAACCTGCCGCGATAACGATCGCCATGGACATGGTCACATGGACATGGACATGTCAAGTGGCTGTGGCCTCAGCCGTCAAGAGAGGAATCAAGAGTGGCTTGGACGAAATGGCAGAGTGAAGTGGTGGTGCGGCACTCTGGCAGGGCACGAAGACGACATGCAGATAGGCTCGGCGTGCGGTTTCCGCAATTAGCAGGTCCTCGCAAACAACATTATCGCCTCGCCGCTAGCTAGTGGCGGTCCATCACTGCAACACTGCCTGCCTTTGCAGCTGCGTCTTTTCACTGCGCCCTCCATCGCCGCATGTGCGCCGCCGCCCAACCAACCAAAATACAAGATGAGGCAGGAGAGTCTGGGTACATGGTTGTGGATCGGCGCCCACCCACTTACGGACGCATGCATTCATGCATGACTCGCACTGTCCCCAACGATCGCGACCTAAAAGACATATTTATCCTTTGAGTAGCGCTATAACCAAATGGTTTAATATATGTTTTTTTGTCTTCTCCAACAATAAGACCTAAAAGACAATCCTTTCTGTAAATAAATCTCTAGGAAAGAGGATACTCAGATTTGAGTTATGTCTCTTCTGGCACTAAAAATAAATTTTCCATATAGATACTCTGTTGAAGGCTATAGGCATTATGTTGAAGAGCCATTTTAAATTTGGGTTCCGTAATCTTCCGTCGGAGACAGCGTCGGGAGTCGATAACAGGGCAGGAGAGCCGAAATGTTTGTGTGGAGGTAACGGGGAGAATGCTGCTGTTGTCGAATGTTCTTTTTCTTCAAAGAATAAATTCGGCATCATCATCTCTTGCGCCCAAGAGAATTAGACCGCTTATTTCAGCAAAATATAATAAAGAACAGTTCAATTCAAAACTTAATTTTAGCATTAATTAGCTATCTAAAACAACAAATAACTGAATTACGGCTATCTCTAGAACGGGACAAAGTTGGATGATTCGTTCCCTGTCGTCTTCACCTTGTTGTAGATACTTTAGCATTACTTTTCAGCAAACGAACATTGTTTTTCTCTCACAACAAATCAGTATAAGCATCATCATAAGCCAAACACGTGGTGTGTTTTGCTTGCTTGAGTGTGCTAGTACCAGTTTCGACTGTTGTGGGAACAGTAAGGTGGCTATGTTTCATCACTCTATTCGCATGGAGGTCTTAGTTTGGATGATGTTAGATTCGTCTCAATCCACATGTGTTGTGGTTGAATGAGATATAATTTAGTTAGTTTCACTCTAATCCACACCAGCACAGATGGATTGATGCGAATCCAACTATATCCAAACAAAACTTGAATGAATATTTGAAACCAGGGCAAGGCATATTTGAAGCTATAGCACGTACTGCGGCAAATTCCCTTCAAAAGAAGACGTCAAAAGCAAATACAGGGATCAATGAAGAGAGCAGGTAGATTCACACATTCAGTTTACAGACGCCAGCTGGTTTGGACAGGGGGCAGAAACCAATCTGCACATGCAGAAATTCGCTCCAATTGTATAGCCGCAAGAGGATTTACAGTTTATATCCCCTGATTTTTCTTCTTACATAGCTAGTTCTACATTTTTGTACACCTTGGTTATTCTAGTAATGTGACAAAAAAAAAATCAGTTGCACAATACAAAACTATATACCTGGTTGAGGACCAGAATAATCGCACACTGGAACATCCGAACATACTGTACCAACATTACGCATAAGATCATCCTGGCTAACCACTACAAAAATAAGAGTGGGTAGTACCGGGGCTATGTATACATTTCAGGCATGCCACTATACATAAAACAAAATAGTCAAGTTCCCCTGTTCTCTTGTTTTTTTTTCCTGTCGACAGAAAATACTCCCAAGGCAAAAATCATGCGTGAATTCCGGGACCAGGGTAAGCTGGGAGACTCATTATCCTCTTGTCAAGCACAGGAGCGCCCACTGTAAAATGGTACAAGCTTTGAAACTCCAAGCCTTTCAAGCCAAGTGCCTCGTGAACTACACAAAAAGTCTAGAAAATTAGAAGCTACACAAAAATTCTAGAAATAGAAGCTATCACAGTGGACGGTTAAACTATTGCCAACTCTCTGAATTGACTGGAAATATGGAGAATATTACTGCCTCGGGTCAATAATGACTGACGTTTCAGACAGCCATGTTAGCCCGCATTTAGCTGTACACTGCTGTCTGAAACTTCGAGAAATAATGACAAGAGGGCGTATTCAAGATGTCATCATGGATTATAATTAAGAAAAAAAAAACAAGCATCATAAATCAGAAGTGACCTTGTGCTTTACGATGACAAGAGGTGAAGAGGAACAATCAACTTGGGCATGAAAATCGAGCAATGTGCTGCAAAGATGTATCTAACGCCAACCCGTGTTTTTCATGAACAAAAAAACTAAACATTTTGCATGTAACATGTACAAAATATTAAATGAAAGAATTGATCAATTGAGTAGTTGAGATGATCTCATTCTTAAGCTAGACAGCTGAACTAGTAGGAAAACATGATTAGAGCTTAGTCATGTGAAGCATTAACACATATTTGTCTTTCACCAAATTTCTGAGAAATAGGTGTAAATGACATAATATGTAGAAATTGATGATACCTAGTGGTGAGAGAGTTGGGTGCATACTGCATAGGGCCATGTAAACCAATTTTGTTTCAGGACATTTGACAGTGAAAGACATGATAATTAGTTCATTCTCTGTTGTGAGTGTTAATTCACACCAGGCTAAGGAAAACCAGATAGCATCGCTTTAAGGGGATTAAAGGTATAAGGAGATAGACAATGTATGCAAGGGAACTTCTGGGTTATGGCAAGAGTAATTCATTATTCTTGGTTCTTGCTTGATTAAAAAAGGATACAAAAGGCTATCCTTCAGAATCTAACGAACACCCTTTAACCCCAGGAAACTTATGTTAACTATGTCAAATATGCCTACAAGGAAACTGAATTAACATCTAAAACACTTTCTATCTCGTTTCTAATTGTTATGGGTCTCACACAATCAACTATCAAACTAAAACATCAGATGCTTTTAAACAAGCAGCTAGATGACACCAGTTCAGTTTTTCATGGAAATTAGAGATAACAATGAATCAAATAGCCAATGATAGGTTTTTGTATTTAGCTGAAAAGTTGAGTTGCTCTCTGAGTTTAGAAGTTGTTTATTTGATTTCAAGAAGACTGACCCATATAAAATAGTCTTGTGAACAAATGGAAAAAGCCAAAAAGAAGTCTCTTCGTAACCCATCAGTTATCTGGGTCAATCTATATCACCTATCCTACTACCACACTCTCAACCAAACAACGCTATCTGCAGCGCAGATATCCCATCATGATTCAACATTGATCACAAAAATGTGTTTGTTAAACTAACATTTGATTTGCAACACTTATAAAACAATATCAACTACTGCACTGTTAGGACTAAAATGCATATCTACGGCAATTATACAATACCTAGAGGCAGAATAGGGCACCCATCAGTCATTAGAGCTATGCCCATTATGATACACCCTTCTATTCATTAAATATAGTCATTCTTCATGTTCAAATTTTACAAGGGAACAATTTACAACATTCGGTTGTGAGGCATGACTTATTGCACCACCTGAAGAAGGTGGACTTTATTATTAGGTTAGGATTTGGGGAAGTGAAGTGAGGTTCATTCTGTCGGGTACCTTAGAACGGGGTACCCCGAGCAAACATCAAAATAAAGCTAGAAGGTAACCCGTGGGCCCCTCACCTGCCACGACCGAGCCCTCCTCCACCTCGCCTCGAGCCTCGGCGGGGAGGTCTCGGAACAAACTCCGCCTCGCTGTGAGGCTCCCAGGTAGGTCTCGGCGGGCGCCTGAGTCTCCGTCTCGCCCGAGGCTATCCAGGGAAGGCCTCGGCGGAGGTACATTCTCCGTGTCGCGAGGCGTCTCGCGCAAGTCCTCGGCAAGGAACCTGATCTCCCGTCCCGCGAGGCCTCATTCTCCGTGTCGCTCGAGGCGGCTCGTCCATGATCCGTCGCCCCCGCCTCGGCCGACCCTCCCAACAACTCGTCATGTCTCATTAATGCTTCAACCACTCCCATAATCTCGGTAGGACGGTGGCTCAACGCCACAGGATGGCCGACGCGATTCAGGTCGCATCAGCTCCTCTGCGGCCGGGGGAGAGTCGACGGGGTTTACGGCCATTGTGTCCTACTACTCGTGTCCACGATCGGCATCATACCGGCGGGGCCGAGGGCACGACGGGGATTACCGCCACTTTGTGTCCTACCACTTGTGTCCACGATCGGCACCATACGGTGGGGCAGAGTGCGAGCGGGATTACCGACCACTTTGTGTCCAAAAGCTGTACCCATGATCGGCCGCCCGCTCAAGGCCTCGGCGCTGCATGCACGGGGCCTCGGCGATCTTGGGGTTCGTGCTGAGAGACCCCCCACCAGTGCCGGCCTCGGCATCGACCAAGTCTCGGCCTCGCGCGCAGATCCGTCCACGGTGGCTTGCACGTTCGCCGCGCGCGTCCACTCCGAGGCATTCCGGGGCTCCCACGGCCGCCACGAGGATCGATGGGATGACCACGCCGCCCAAGTACTCAAGGATGGACCACTCCGGCAGCCACACCGCCACGAGAGCAGGCTACGAGAGGCTCGGACACGCCGCCTCTGTTCACACGACGCCGTATAGTTAGCTCATGTACCGCCCTAGTCCTCCCTTCATGCTATAAAAGGAGAGGACTGGGTTGTTTTAAGGGGACACCTTGTAACACACACACACACACGCACTCTGCCTTTGAGAGCAACGTCTCAAGCGGCCCGCACGACGACACCGCCGAGACCTAGGACCAGCTCCTTCTCT